GCGATAAAGGACTATGGGCAATTATATGAGAAGCAGCGTGGTTGATTGAATCTGAGTGGAAAAAAACGGGCTTATTCGCGTGGCTGCTGAGCTAAAGCCGTGTTCACAATGCAGCTCTTGATTTCAATTAACCTTGCGCTATGCTGGCATTCGGTCGTCGAGCGAGAAAGTTCCGCGACGGAGATTCCGCAAGGGCGGGAGAAGGAGCGAGGCGATAGATATAGGAAAGAGAAAAAGAGATGAAGAGTGGGGGGGAAAAAAAATAAGAAGAAAAAAAAGAGGTAAAAGCAATAAAAAGAAAGTAGAAGTTGAAGATGAGGATTGGTGCACGTAGCACTGCAGCCAACCGCCCATGCATACATGGCACAAGGTATACGGACATACATAAGGTAGATGTACATGTGTATATATATATATATATTTTTCTATTTCCTTTTCAATGCGAATAAAGTGAAACGAATTCAGAAGGGAGAATGTCGCGATGAGGGAAAAGAGACGATAGGGCAAAAAAAGGGTTGGTCGATGCTCACGATAGCAACAGAGGGAGGGATGAATCGTGGAATGGTGAGTATAGTACACGAGGGTGCTCGGGGGGGAGAGAGGGTGGTACACGGTCTGAATGGTTGAAAATTACAGTGGATTCTCCTGTAAGAAATACCATTACAGAAACCTCGCGTAACGTCAGCTATATTCGTACGAGAGAAAGAAATACACTGTTCAATATATATATATATATATATATAACGAAGAAATGCCCAAGGATGTCAGTGGAATGCGAGTTGGGCTACATGAGGAAATAGAATTAGAAGAAAAAAAAATTTTGAAAAAGCAAACGAAAAAAAAAAACATTTTCTTAAAAGCAGAGTCAATGCTGACGGGGTTCATGGATACTAAATATATATATTTTTTTGTTTTTTTACAAAACAACGGCAATTAGCATTCGCGCCATTGAAACTTTCATTTAATAATATTTTGGTAACCCCCATTGTATAGAAAAAAAAAAAAAAAAAAAAAAAAAAAAAAAAAAAAGGGG